CGAAAAAAATTCCAAAATTTGGATAGCATCGGCGCCGCGTAAACTTGGGAAGCAGGGCGCCATCCTGAAATGTCCTCTAATCCGTACATATAAGAAACTGTATATCGTTCGCGATCTTGGCAGTAATTTCGTAACAAGAGCTGCCCCAGTGCCACTGGACGCAATCTATTTGGGAATTGAGTACATCATTACAGGGCAAGATTTCCCAAGTACTTCTTTCTGCAGCTTAAGAGAGTTCGTCGCTAGTCTGAAGTGGCGTTTCGTCTCTGCCAAGGGAGTCTTCAGAGACCCCTAGAATCTTCCAACATCGTGCTTATAAGCAGTTTGCCCTTCTTTTTCAAAACATGGGATTTTCGACCTCATTTCCACACTTCTAGTTTAAAATGAGTGAGTTTTCAAAAAACACGTGGCAGTGGCTGGTCTATTCTAGAGCGCGCGTCTTTCAGCGAGTTTATTAAAAAATTCCAAAAGTTTTCGGAAGAGTCTCTAGAAACGCCGCGTCGGAATAGCCTAACCACGAACTATTTTTCAACAGAGTTTAAGATTCAATTATTGTATAAAGCCATTACGGCTGATTAAGACTCGCAAATGTTTACCGACCTGAGAAAAAATAAAGTCGGAGCCAAATTTCTTAAAAGGGTGAAAACGCTGAAGGAAATCTTCTGGATTGCAGGCTCTAAATGACGTTGGCACTACTCTCTGGTGATTTCTCCGAGTTATGATATGGCTTAGGCTTAAATAATGAGCTTAACTTGTTCTATGAACTAATTCTTTGTGTATTCACTTAATCGTTACATGACTAAAACGGGAACGTTTTCTATCTTTTTTGAGTCCATCGTTTTGATGACAGAATGGCTCACTGAAAGCGGTAGAAGAACTCAGTGAAAACACAGAGCAGCTGCCAAAAACTGACACGAAATACATATCATGTTAGGCTCTATCATTAGGTTTCTCCCGTTATGTATCTGAAACCCTCCAAAATTTTCGTTCTTGAAAAAAAACAATTCAAGCTGACTTCGCCAAAAAACATATCCATGTTTCCTTTAATCGATATCCTTCTTTCTTTTTTGTTAAAGATCGAGCCCTCATTCTCTGCAAAAGTGTCTAGGTCAAGTTGATCGATCCAAAGTAGCTTTTCTATGCTCTGTTTATGAAAATAGCCAATCCAATCAGTGAGAAAATCCAATTTGTGTAGCCGAGAAGCTTCATTCGTTGTAAAATCGGACGTAAACAAATAGTGGTCTATTGTTTACCTGTCACACGAATTCCCTCTTGACTTCATCGTTCCAATTGGCTTCTTTTGGATATATGTTCTCCCTGAGATAAAACTTTTCTGCCGTGTGAATGTAAATTCAATTAACAGTGAGCTTGTATGCAGACGATCATATGAACTCGAAAGGAAGCGGGTCCTTATTACCTCAATTTAGCCTTGGTGAGTTGTCAAAGTCTCATGCAATATCTTTTATCATTAATGAATCAATAGACCGCACTTTTTATCGGTGTACGAGCCGAAGGCGATCGATTTACAAACTTTTCGAGTGTTCAACCAACATCTAAGTGAGTTATTACGCGGGAGAACCGACGGACAGTGCGGTCTATCGCTTTTATAAAACAAACCTTAATTTTCAATGGGTTTACCAGTGAAATGAACGATAGGTTTCTGAAAAATCAGGGCACTCGTCATTTAGCACGACTGCTCTCTGTAGAAAGATTTCTGTCAAAGAATTCTCAGCCAGTGACTTTGTATATACTGAACCTAAGGTCTAAGAAAAGGAATGCAAAGCGCCGTATGGGACTTTTCTCTCCGAGGTGAGATTTTGTTGCTACCGATTTCCCAACTCAATTAATTAACTGAGCAGGAGGATGGCAATTTTTATTCACCAATAGAACTCGGTTATATTACTTATTGTATGATACAAAAGATAAAATTCAACTCTATCATCGATACGGTGGCTCTCACCTTTTAATTTTATATTTTGTCTATTTGAAAGAAAGACTTAATTTAAAGATGTAAAGGGACGTAGATCTTAAAGGGGAGGTCAGTGCCCTCCCGCCCCAATTTGCGGAGACTGGCACAGAATAACATTAGTTCGTCGAAATATTCAGCCGCACGATCTTTGCACCAAACGTCTCATTGAGATAGCAAATTGTTAAAATAATATATTGTAGGCCCCTTTCTTTCTTTAAAACTGCCTTCTTAAACAAATAATCTCCCATTTTTTCTTTTTACATTGTCAATTGCAAACGGTGTCGGACAGGTCGGACACTGATGCTGGTTGCAAAGAATTTCTTTGCCAGCAACCAAGTCAGAAGCTTCTTCGGAAATGTTGATTCAGTCCGAGTTTGTCTCGACGGGTGATGACCCACTCCTCTCTCCCTTCCCACCACTCCCCACACACCCTCGTATTTCGCAACGCTTAATCACCTTTCTATGACTCAGTTGTAATTCGAACTCATGCCGCCCTCCGTCTGTATTGAGTCGGCGACTATGTGTCATTGTTTTTGTTTTTCTATTTCGTCGCAAGGAAAACAACCATGACCAGACACGGAAACTGCTCTAATTATCTGAGAATCATTTATGTTATGCTTTCTTAATGCTAAATCTCGAAATGTCCAAAGCAATTTTCACAGCATGCAGACGGTGTAAACAAATGCAAGTTTGTTTAAACGTCGCACGAGGATCCTCGCGAGGCATGCATCGCGGAAAATTATGAAGTGACAACAGATTAGAAAACATATCATTTTCATATTCAAAGTGACTTTTTTGATGCATATAAGTTAATTCTAAACCATGATCTCTGTTGTTAAATTTTCGAAATCTGCTCAAGTTGACTCAAAACCGTTCCGGAGTCAGATGGGTTTGGTCAGTCGGTACTGAATAATTTTGTATGACAATCTCTCTCCATCGATCCTAATCGTCATGATATTTCAACCCCAAAAACTATTCTAATATCCGTTTGCAAACGCCAAGTGAAGGACATTTTCCTGATACATTTGAATAATTGGTGGAATCGAGATTTTGGTTTGGCACTCCGTGAAGGGTATAGCTAAAACCAAGAGCTCATTACTTGGCGGCTCCTGCTAAAACCCAGTCGCCGATCAGCTTATAAAGGTTTCTATTATTTTTGGCAGGTGTTTACTGAACCTCTGTCGGGAATGGGAAATAGTAATCTTAACTGTTTGGAAGCTCATGTAATGTTCAAACATCGTATCTATACAGCAGTTTATATCATTATTTTATGGTTTCACTAATTTAATGAGTTAACCGCATCTTGGATAGTTTAGGACAGTTGAAAGCCAGTTGGAGCATAACAGTTTACAACTATATTCTCTTATCTAAGGCTTGCTCGATGATCAGTTTACGGCCGGCTACGCGCCTTTACGATAGCCATCTATAACCGACAAAGTTCTTAGGCCAAGCGAACAGGATTTTCAGCTCATTAGCCGTACTAGTAACTTCTAAAACGAATAAGCTCACAAGATTAGAACTCTGTGCTAACTGAGATCAGAACGACTTCTGTTGTGGTGCGGTTCGAATGACAAAACGGATCTGTTATTTAAAAATAACGCGTTAGATAAGCGTGTTACCACAGGAAAACCGCGGTTTTATTTGGAGTCAGCAAGCTGACACGTACTGAATATACTGGGTCACGGAAGCTGGAACATTATACAAACTTATCAAGTGGTATAAATTTGATAGCGCATCAAATGTAGAGAGTAAATTGGAGGTTTGGTAATTCTAAACGCTGTCTTGAAAATCACATTAGAAAGGCTCCAGTTGTCTTAGTCTTTTTTTACATGCCTTAAGGGTTGCAAAGGCTCTAAGTAAAGGAATCCTTAAAAAAGGAAGGATAGAAATCAGTGACGATTTGGGTGTGGTAGGGGCATGAGATCGCATTATTCTTACCTAAGAATAACAAAGTCAGGAACGCAAGTAGGAGATCTGTTATACCGTTACGCAAATAGCCCTTCCCTACAAAGCAAAACGGAAACTGTTAACCCGAAATATGCTTATGTCCACCTCCTTTCCTAAAAATATTCCTTTCAAAGACTCTAGAGCTGAGAAAGAAGGATTTCTCACGTATTTAGCTACGGGTTTGATCGGACCATTTAATGCATGAATGATTTGTAACCGCTCGGCTTTTGGAAAATTTAAACCAAACTTCTATTTAGAACAACAGAACTACCAAAGTAAAATTATTCCATGTGATAGATATGAAAAGAAATATGACGGACGGCCAAAGAATTATGGGATATCTTACTAACTGTTTTTTGTGAACTCGGCACTTTAATAGCTCTCATCTCGCGCACCAAAGATTGAATGAATCTTTTTACGTAAACGTTTTTTCATTTCATTAGTTCCAAGAAATGATTTTTCTGTAAACTGATATGTTCAACAAGGAAGAGTCTGCTAAAAAGGCACGAAGAAAAAGAAAGAAAATCTGATATGATTTAAAGTTTAAAAAAAAGGAAAAATAAGGAAAATTAAATGAAATAATTTGGTAGGCTGCAGTCTTTGGTCATTGCTCTGAGTGCCAGTTGAAAAAAGCATAGACTGACCACAACACCTCCTTCATCTTCGCCGTTTTCAGCCTCTATTCGCGTCCGACGTTTCCATAAAGAACTAAATGACATTGATATCTTGGTGGCTGAAAGACAATCCCTAAGGCTGAAGGGGATTAAGCAGTCTGGGGCTAAGTGTTTCTGGGATTCAAGTGTTATTTTATACGAATTATGATAGGACAAAATACTACTTTTCTTAATCGAACAACCCACCGCAGTATGTTTTGGAGCGAGAAAGACAGAAAGGCAAGGATTACTACGAAAATCTGTCTGAATTTCTTTGCGGTTGTAAGTCGAGGATGTTGAAGAGAAAAGGGTAAAGTTCAGCTCACGCAAGAACAAAGCATCGGATAGTGTTACAAATCGACATCCCTTGTTGAGGTGCAGGATTCCCCGCAATCGATTGTACTCTCAACAAGGCGCTAACTCGACGGACAATATATTTAGTGCAAATCTCACACTATTAAATGTTTGTATTTGCTCTAATTTAAGGAAAATATTTAGACAGATTTCTGGGGTAATTGTTAAAGTGATCAGATGTTTCGTGGCCTTTGTGCGTTAGTTACAGATCTTGGAATTTTAATGCACAAAAACCGCAAGGATTTGGAGTTGGTGGCCCTCACGTCTCAATTCTGGATGCGCAGTAGAGTAACTTTCAAGTCTTAGCTTTCATCAGGCGTGACATTCCCTACGGAAATTGGTTGTCATGTTACTTTTTACAACGGCGATCTTCACATCACGAATTTGCACAAATTAAAAAAAAAACATTTTTTTTGAAGTTATAAGTTTTCTACTTTTTTGTGCATAGTGGTTTACCTTTGTGTGGACATTTCTATTGTTAAAGACGTGTCTTGAATTTGAAGCTCAACGCCGCAGATAACATGTCCTTAATGAGGAATGATTTAGATCGTTATCAATTGAATGCATTTTGTGGTCGTCGGAAACGAAGAACGGACTAATGTGACTTTTTATTAAACGTGAGAAAATTTTGTGCGATTTGTTCGTTTTCAAGCTATTTTCTCGAAATATGTTGGGAGAAAGTAAACAAGTATTTAGTAGTTAGCGTGAAATTCCTGTTAGCTTTTGCTTCTAAGCAAACAAACCTCAGTGCGTGGTGAGTTTTTACAGAAACATCTGGAGTAAGGCATCTCTGAGATCAGTTTCCCACAGTCCTGTTACTTTTCCATCTGGCCGTTTATTTTAGGATACGCAGCTCAGTTTTCTTTCTAAACAACACTGATCGCTGATTGGCCGTGTAACAATAGTGATTAAAAGTAGCTGATGATCTGTTGAATTAGCCATTCACTCAGCCAATTAATGTCAATTATGGCTTGCAAGTGAGAGAACAAAGATTTAATCGAGAAGAAGTGACAGCATTTTTGAGACCGCGTTGAAGAACGGTGCTCTTCATCGGAGTATCATTTTCTCGGGAGCGAGAGAGACGGCGCTGATTATTTGTCCACCTTGAGCATTTATCTTTTCATTTCCTTTGTGTCGAGTGGAGGAGAGTTTCATTTTAGAAGATTTTCAAGGAACTGGAAGCCCAGTAGGAATTTTGCATTCAGCGAAATTGTATCACAGGGAACTGTCAGTAAGCTTACGGTTGTACGTCAATCGTGTAACAGAGAGAGCTTAAAGTTCACGGCCGTGGGGCGCTCAAAGTGGTTCTACTGAACACAAATCTGCGAGGAAAAAAAAACATTAACCGCACAGGCTATGAGATCATAAAGGTAAGTAGGGAAATTCGCTTAGTACCCAGCATTCAGGTCGGTGAGAGGTAATTCAGTTATAATTAAACACGTTAACTTGGTTGACTTTCGTGGACCTCACGTACAGAGAATTCGCGTGAGCAACAGATTTAAAAAAGAAATGATATGTTGGCAACACACATTCCGCTTCACTAGTAGTTGATGTAAGAGAGCGTAGTTGGCTGTTTTTAGTGGACGAATTTAGGTGATCAGAAACGAGCAAGTTACCGGTTATAATTGTTTTGATCGCTGATATGATCCAGTACGCGCAGCGATTCTTAAGCAAACAAGCAGCAATTATTTCTCACAGAATTGTTCATATTTATTCATATCTTCCTGTATGGTTACATGTTCGAGTTTGTTTTACTTTCTTTACCTTAAGTAGCCATAATAACTTCCTGTGAGTTAACAAAGCAGCGAACAATGGCACTCCAACTGTAGATCAGCTTTCAGACGATCTAGAATGTCTCAAAGGTCGCAGGGGAATCAGTTCTGTGGAGTTTAATTTACTCGTGCGTATGTACAGTTTCGTTTGAGTTTGGAATTGTTATTTTAAGACTTTGCATAAAAGCATGCTTTCTCTCCAAACAAAATGTCGTATGTCTTTGTCGAACGTGACATTTACTTTTCTGAAATATCGCAAGAAAGTGTTCAGATTAAGTTGACAAACAAAACTGTGACAGTGTTAATTGCTGAAATTCCTGTCCGTAAATAAATCACAACTGTAAAAAGAAACTGAGCGAACAGTTCTTAAAATCTTTCAATGTGATCTTCCCATGTGATCTCGTGGTTATGATATAATATTTGAAATCTTAGGTGTTGGTAGATATTTCCCGTACTGCATTCCGCAGCACAGGCGTCTGATTTTTACAGCACGATCTTCTCAAGCTGAACTTTTTTAATTAGTGTCTACGCTTTCGATAGAGTAGCACTTCAAGCGACAAAAATTAAATCAAACCAGGGACATTTTTTGAGATAATCAGCGATAAGAAAGGTGTAGAATCCTGTTATTTATGTTCGTATTTCCTTTCAGTATGTTTACGGGTCAGATCTGTGGTATGGGCGGTATTTTACTCCTCTTTTACTGCTCTATCATTCGACACTCAGACAATATGAGGCGTTCCTTTATATATCTTTTGTATAACACATTGTTGTCCGAGGTCACTACGAGAATTTTGTCATCAAGACATCTATTATTGAGTCAAAATTATATTTAAATGCTTTTACGGTTTCAGTAAGTGGCAACATGACTTAAATGCTTTGGTTGAAATTTCAGAAGCAAGAGCTCAGCTTTGTATCCGGTGGTGTTGTGCTGGAAATATTACAGATAACCGAAAGGCACGATTCTAGGAAAAACCCTACTGATATGAAAATCGAACATTTCCGGTTTTTGAAAGGGTTTTGTGAAATATACCTGTTGATTTCAAAGGCCGTTTTGTAAAACTCTTCTCTTTTTTTAGCGTTTGGAGTAACTTTCATTGAATGAAATGGATACGTATAAAGCCCACTTGAATTCTTTAACTGCTCCTCTCCATATGGGGCAACTTGATGACGTCCGTTTCGCCGTGTTAGCTAAATAAAATACTTCGTTATCTCACAGTTAGTGGGGAATATAAATGTAGCCAAACGCAATTGCTAATCACGTACATATATGCGCTGTGACAAGGCACAGAGCGCGCCACGGCAACTACTTATCCATTGATACATAAGATCGGCTAAATTAACACAGATGGGAATCGATGAGAGAGGAGAAGTGTATGTTCACCACAGATTGATGAATGAAGCCTATTCACAGAGGTGGTCGGAAAACCGTAAAAACCACAGCAAATACAGGCGGCCGATTTTCGTTGCACAGCAGCTCTCATTTCGTCGTTTGATCGACTGTTACTGAAATATTTTTCGCCTTCTTCCGTTTCTTCGGAAGGTCAATGTTTTTTTCTTCTGATAAAGCACTAACGAGTCTTACAGGCGATTCAGCTAATCCAAGAAAAATGTATCTAATCTTGCTAAAAACTTTTCAAAGTGACCTCGGTTGTTATTTAACTAGACTTTTAGCTCTTACTGGTATTATAATTATATAACGCTACAAATCTACTAACTGAATGTCGGAACTTTTAAAATACTAAGTATGGATCAGAGACATAGGTTATCTAACGCATCTTCAGGTACCTTTTTCAGCTTAACTCAATGGTAACGGGGAGAATAAATCCTTTTCAGCATGATACCAATCAGTTTTAGCTTGATTTGGATTTATTTTTGGAGTGAAGAGACTGAAATAAACGTGATAGAAAATTGCCGGATAATGCAGCAATAAATCGCGTTATTATCAGACGCTTTTATCGCAAATTTAGACTCGATAAGGATCGAATGGTAGGGAAACGAACCATTGGCATAAAATTTTTTCAAGAAAAAAAATTCATTTTGACTTCCTTCTTGAGAGAGATGCTGAGACGCGTTAGAATTTAAGGCGAAGAAAAACAATTCGTAGAAATTGGAATAATACCAATTCGCACCGTCTGTTATTGCAACTAGCAGTCACGAGGACTTCTGCAAACACGATTGCATAGCTCAGATGCCACCACGAAATACGTACCATTTTTCTCTTACATACTAAAACAAGTTAATGAAGAGCTTCGTGAAATCGGTTTATTGTTCTTTAAAGATGATTTAGTATGACGCTGTCAGTATTTGTTCATTTTCCCGTCGCGGAATTTCTTTTGAAGTGGATGATAGGATTGAATGGATTAGAAGTAATACTCGTCGAATCGACGTTCTCGCGTTTCGTGTAAATAATCGTTCTCGAACTCGCGTGTACTCTCGGTGTTCAAGGGTAATACCAAGTTTTTTTAGCTTCTCTTCATTCATTTATTCGAGCATTTCTCAATTTTAGAGGCGAACGGAATAAGGGTTTCTTCGAAGAATCCCTTAAAATTGCTTTGCTAAGAATTGAACCTTTCTTTCGCTTTTTCTAATGCGTGAAATCTTTGCTGCTCATTAATAGAGACCTTATGGCGCCGTCAATTTTGCCCTCCATTAATTTTCAATTAAGTGTCAGTATTGTCCTAAATATGCCTGGTCTGGCACGTAAGCCTTTTTAATATATCACAGTGTCTTACATGAAGAGCGGACAATTGGCAAGTGTAAAGCAAACCAAAAGGCTGCCAGCTAACATTCTTACCAGTATTTACTTAAAAAAAACAAGCTGTTTATGTTGACAGGGGCGGAATTAAAACGAAATAACCTTGTAGTTTAAGCAGTTTCCCTAATTAAACGTTTCTTAAGAGTTAGAGGAAGTAGCTCTCGCCAGGGATAGAAATAGAAATACAGTACAGATCAAATCCAAAATTTTTATTTCTCAGAGACAAATAACCGATAAAAAGAGAAAGCGATATTCTTTAAACTTTGATCTTCACAGAAATTCGGTAAAAGAGCTTTAGAAATATTAAACTTTCCGGGTCAAAAATCTTTCCTGTGCCAATATACAGAAAAAAAACATTGTTTTAGTGGGATAGGGCCAATGCTAGCCATAATTAAGAAAAAAACTGATACTTTAGGAATATTGCGGAGTGTTGAACATTTCATTCCTGTGTTGTTACATAAATTGCGTTTGCGTGCAGCAACGAGTTGAGACCGGGGGGGGCGGTGAAAAGAAGTGTTGGCGGTTAATTTTTTTCTGGAACAAGTCTCGAGTTTTAAGTGGGATTTGGTTTTAGTTGTCACCTTAAAAAGATAAAGTCATAAACTGGTTTTTTCGGATTTGTCGCGATGATTCCTTTATCCTGTATTGAGAGCCACACCGGGTCATGATCACGTATCAGCAATTACACACAGACAGTAAAGAGCTGTCTGTTGTACGGCGAGGCTTGCATGGTAAAAACGGAGATTGGAAAAGTATCAAATCGACTTAGAAGGCCCAACGGTTATCTTCTCTGTGTTGACTTATTAAAGCCACGAGTTCAGGTAGGAAGGAATTTTCTAAGACATACTGACAATAATTAACAAGCTAGGTAAATATTGTGTAAACTTAGTTAAGTTAATTGCAATGCCTCGACAAAACCTCGAAGTGATTGGCTTAAGTACTGAACCGTTTTGTGTTCAGCTGTTGCTCTTTTTAGGATCTTTCAGTAAATGAAATAACGTATTCTCACCGATAACGGTTTTATTTACTTTACATGCAAATCAAAGTAACAGAGGTATCATCGCACAATTTAAGATTTAGAATTATTTAGGTTAATAGTGATAGGCGTAACTTGACCCCTGAAGTCACGAGATTTGGTGTATACATCCTCTCTAATGAGCAAACCGTATGTTCTATTCATTCTACAAGGAAGAATTTTCACAACATTCGATCAGCTTCAAGTATCACTGATTTATTTTCGGTATTTTTAGTTGCCTGTTTGTTTAGATTAGCTCATAAATCAAGAAACTGAGAACGAAAAGTAAAGCCCTGTGCGCGCAAATCAGCCGCGCAGTTAGACGCGTTTGGAGAAACTGCCATGGGCAAAGCGCGCTTGAAATCCACGTATCCGTCCCAGCGTGTTAATTACAGATTCTTAAGCGGTACTGAATGAGACACACGTTAGTTTCCTAATGATCAAATCAACCCTTATTCGAGTCTACTGTTGATGAATGTTTCCGAGGTCTGTTCAACGAACAATCACGGTGGCGAATTAACAAGCAAAATAATTTGTGATTTTTGTTACAGAAGCTAAAAGTTCTAAAATACATCAATCTGCGGCGGCAAAATCTATTGGGAGACCAAAATCTAATTTCTAATGTTAATTAATCGTATGATTTAAACGTTCCGAAAACAAAAATAAACTCGTGGACGTTTTAGTTTTAATTGATTTTTAACTGTAAAACCGTGCTGTTTATTGTCATTTAAACTTACAAATGTTAAACTGTTTAAATAGGGGAAGATTGGCATCGTCGACCGACCCAGATCCCGCGCTCCCTTAATTGAATCGTGCCCCTTTCTGGCGAAATGGCACCCTTGAGTTGAATGACCTAGAATGTTATAATTTTTTGGCAATAATTACTGAGAAATTGAAGACACCTCAAGGGGTTGATAATTTTCAATTTCTCTTACAAATAATCATTTACAATTAGTCAATTAACCATGACAGTTATCAGGTGATATTCGGACACATGAATTGAAGCATTACTTTCGCCATTCGTATTTCCTAAATGTTAGTTGAACTTTTGTCATCAAAAGTGAAACCACATAAACAGCTGCAACCCCTTCTAAGGCCCTGGTGTGAAGTACAATCCGACTTTTAAATGAACACACGTACCGCTGTCGAAGTATATTAGGAGAATATTTGACATCGTAACAGGTAAAATGAAAAATTATCTTTTGTATAAAGTTGTGTTGGAGAAAACGAAAAAGGTGAAGGTAGCATGTGAGATACTAGCAATAAAGAAAAAAGATTAGCTTCCCCCCATTAACTTTTGACAATACGCGACAAGATACACCGTCAAACAGGTGGTCGGCTCGATGTTCAGTTCTAGCTAAAGAAACTGAAAAAAATTATTTTGATGCAATTTGGCTCCTTGTAAAATAACCGGCTTATCAGTATATTTTTGCTTTTCACCGATATATGCTGTTAACTTTTGTTCTCAATGAAATATTGTAAATTACGTAATTTGTATATAAAACAGGAGAAATGATACAAGATACAGATAAAGCGGTTTTGAAATTCTTTGATCGGATATTTCTCTGAGTGCAGTGGTCGGAACAATTAGATTCGGAAGTTTACCTTCTAAATAAATGTCATAACTGTGGATGAATGGGCGGGAAAGTTGATTTCTGAATAGGAAAACATTTCACGCTTTGCGTTTTTGGCAAATTCTGATCGCTTCATTTAATAACTGTCATCGTTGTCGCGATTTTAATGTTCAATAGAGACATTACTGACTGTGGAAAGGATAAGTGAACGTTTTATCGTTTGTCCTAAGGCGATATAGAGTCAGGTTATCAATTGTATTGATCGCAAAGTTTCAACTGCTAGACTTTGTCAAGCGACGACTAGCAGACGAGAACTGGCAGTAAAGGCGAAGACTACCAGTATAGTAGTCGAGACGTCGCTATCAGTCCGGCTTGATAGCTGGACCCTTCATCATTACACAAACGATAAAACGTTCATTTATCTATATAAACACGGTGAACAACTTTGTTTATAAAATGGATGTTTAGGTACTTACGTCACAGTACTGCTTGAGAAATATTGTCCTTTGTTGATTGAAATCCATTCCAATCTTCTCCATCCTTAATTTTCGTTCCTTCCAGGCAAATTCTTTGCATTTTGTTGTTTTTTTCTTCCTTATCCAGTGAGTACTTTTTGGCTCCCTGCACAATGAAGGTAATTTTCTACATCGCTACAAACGACTCTAATAAAAAATCTTAAACTATTTTAGCCAAAAAACGAACAAAAAGGGAAAAGATAGGCCTTCATGTGATGCAAGATCGCAAATAAAAAGGCAGACTTTCTTTTTAAGTGCTTTTGTTGTGTGTGTCATCGCTACACTTCAAATGATAGCCACCTAATTATTTGGGTTTTTATCAAGAATTCTTGTAACTCAAACAGAAAGAAAGTGAAGCTTTAATGTGGAGGGAGACAGAAATTGTTGATTTGGATTCTTATTTCTACGCGTTTTTCTCCAGTTCTTTTGATTGAAAATGTACTTTTATTGTGGGATGAATTTTCCTTTTTGGTCGCTCCTAGGAGTGAAAAGGTTAATGCTTGAATAAGTGTTTTATTCGGCAATTAATACCACAAGGAACATTATACATGCGTAATTGTGAGGTCCGCCCAACTCTTTTTGCCATCTGCTTTCATGTTTGCTATGTATCCCGCTGAATCCAAGCTCTGATCGGCTAGTTTACTGCTTTTGTCCGATCACTTCGCCATATTTTAAAGAGTGATCACGCTTATTTGCAGTAGTGATCTTTTTTCAGTTTTTTTTCGGTTTGGCAGTTATTTTAATTTAAGTAACCCATAAAAACCTTTACCTAGCCATGTAGGCGCGGTAAGATAATATTCTGTCGACCCACCTACTGGAGGGATCAAGTTGTATTTGCGATTTCAAGGCAGGAAGTTTCAAGAAATGAGAAAGAATTTGAGACATGAGCTGGTGATAGACAAACATTTCACTTTCCTCTGGCGCCTTTAATTTTAATTTCAACCAAAGACATTGATCGCCACGATAAAAACAAATATTTTGAATTCGTTGATTCACCAGTCACGCAAGCTGATCAGCTCTTTGATCTAATTTTGGACATATCTGTTTTCGGGGTAGGTAATCCTGGTTTGGTGACGCAAACCTTGCCTGTAAATGCATGACTTCTCTCAATAACCGCGGTACGTGTGATGTTATGATAAACAGTTTAGCGTCAAGATATACCTCTTATCAGTGATTTCCAGGGTAAGATAACGCAGTATTGGGCTTTTTCAGAGGTCTGTAAGTCGAGTGCAACTCATGGAAACATTCCAAGAGAATACCGATGAAAGTAATTGCATGAAAAGATGTTTTATTGCGTTTTGGAAACGAGAGCCACATATCTAATGCACGCTCTTAGAAAAAGGTTAGACAGATGTGTCTAGTTTACAGATAATTTATTGCGTCGCTCTAATTAGACCAACAAATGGAGAAGTCGTAGCTCATGAACAGATCGTGTGAGGGTTTTGTTGACGCAAGTTTTAATCAATTAAACGGGTAAACTGTGTTTTTGATTTGAGGAACATACGCACAGATGAGATAGTTTATCTCAATAGTTGTTTGAGAAAACACGTGAACCTGTTTACACTACAGGATTATCTTTTCCAGGTGACTTGAAGACAATTCCGTGGAAGAGAGGTGATTTATTAGCAGTGCAAGATGGAAGTTCCATATATGCTGCTCTTTTTTCTGATGTGTCTTTTACGTCTCCAAGGTGAGTCCTTTTGTTTATTGTTATTCATATGTTTAAACTTTTGCTGACTATGGTTGCAACTTAAGAAAAATCACAAGGCCAGAATTCGAAATTGGAATTAGTCTTCTGTGAATATCAAACACCTCCCATTTTCGGAAGTCGCTGAAATAACAAACTCATAAAGGAAATTTACTATTATCAAAACTCTCTGTCATGACTTATTTTGCTACTATTGACAACGACAACAAATCAAGCCACATTTCTAACATCTTTAGAGGAAATCTTCCAAAATCATGTGATAATGACATTTTTTCTTCTCACAGGGCATAACAGAGGCTCAGTAGAACCAAACGTGATAGTTTTTTTAGTTTTCTGAATTCCACTGCGTATTTATACTGAGGCGACAATTAAAAAAAAGACTTCTTTGTGCGGAAACTCAGGAACATTTCGCCAGTTATAGAAAGAGACATATTCATTTAATTAAGGCCGCTGTTAAGTAGAGTTTAATCAAAACTGTCAGGTGCCAAATATGTTCTCGAGGGAACGACCTGAATATCTCGTTCGAGAGAGAGAAAGTTTGACTGAAGTACTAAACAATGGTTAGAGAGTGACACCAAGAGGCAAGTGAAGATTCTATCACTTGTCAAACGCGCTTTACGGACTCAGCTTTGAGCTCGATAGGAAGACATTCTTGAGAGCTAAGATGCTTTTCTCATGTAAAATCAATCTTTGAGGCAGAAAGGCGTTTGGACAAATCTAAAGACATAAACGTAAATGTGTTCTCTTTGACTTGGCCTTCTCGTTTCTCTTTTTTTCTTCCGTTTCTTGTCGAGAAGATGCAGTTTCGCCCCTATCTCAGCTGCAACTTATTATTTCGTCGTTTTCACCGAAAAAGAAAGTGTGGTATAGATACCTTGGTGTGATTATCCGAGTTTCACGTTTTGCTAACATATTGCAGTACGACTCCTTTTAATTCTTCATTCTGTTTTTTTTCCTACTTATATAAGCCCTTTTGATATTCCAAGCTCAAATACCAGAGGTAATTGTAATTGGAACGCGACCGTTTTCATTCGACAGTACTTTCATATTTGCGCATGATATATGGGTTTTTTGAAAAAAAAAAAAGTATGTCATCACTTATGATGAGCTTTTAAAATTAACAACAAAATATTGTGTGCTTATCTGCTCCACCAAAGATAGCATCATTATTTCGGCATTTCCGAGCGTATTTTTGTAAGAATTGTATGTTAAAACTTTTTCTATTTGTCATAAAATTAGTAATTTAGAACTTATCTTTGAAGTTCGAAAACACGTTTTTCTAATTTTGCTCCTATTAATTGATGCATATCAAGCGAGGTTTTATAGCACCGTTTGGAAGCCATTATGTATGGTCGTGACCACGATCCAAGGCTTCATATTTGGATAGTTATTAACGTAATAAACAACAGAAATCAATAATTTGGAATTGACCGGAAGCTTTCATTTGTATCGTACCTCGTCGAAACGTCAATTCAGATTCATTCTGCTCGATCCGTTAAAAATTTCAAGGAATGACGTTAAAACTTATTGGTATGCAATACATAACAAAGGAGATAAAACGGCAGTCATAATGACAAATATTTGCTATGAGGTATTTGAAAAGTATGCGGCCTGTTACAGGTTTTAGTTATACGACGGTTTGTAACTGTTTGAGAGAAACTTAATCGAGGATGGAAATCACTGAATAGGAATGATTGGGAACGAGCCATCTCTTTTCCTTTTTCTTAAACTTTTTTCGGCGTTACTTTTCGCTCTGCACACTACTCGGATGGCTGGAACAAGTTAAAGAAAATATGTGAAATGTGAAGGCAAATGTTGAAAACAGATGTTTATGAACGATTTAAGAGTTTGCCTCACGCAGACACTATCTCTTATGAGTCCTTCTTAAAAGGACTGGGACTAGGGTCTTAACGGTTTTGAAATTATTTGGTCCCAATTTTCCAGTTAGGAAACTAGCTTTTTCTCAGGTAATTTAGTGTTAACAACTGAGTTGAAAACGTAAATTGGCCACCGTAAAGAGTTAAAAAGCTGACGTTTCGAGCGTTAGCCCTTCGTCAGAGCGATTGAGGAAGGGCTAACGCTCGAACCGTCAGCTTCTTCACTCTTTACGGTGGCCAATTTACGTTTTCATCTCAGTTGTTAACACTAAATTACCTGCTATACTCTACCACCGACGCCGCACCACAGTTTCTTTAGAAAATTGCCCCCTTTTTTTCATTAGCTTTTCTCAGTTCTTGAGACTTTTCTTTGATCAATTAGATTTTGCTAATTAGACCGTGTAATGCTCGGTTGACAATCATCTTACAGAATCTGGCAATGGTTCCGCTGGGGTGTCAGTCTTTTTCAATACAAACATCACCCGAATTATCAAAGTTACACAATCTATTGTAACTCTCGAGTAAACGTTATTTACGTAACATACATTATAGCTAACATATATTTAATGAAGTGGAGGTGGCTTGGCAGGGTTAATATTTACGGCGAGCCACCGACACTGAAGTGAATACTTGTTTCAGTATATACTAAAACAGTGAGATAATATGGCACAAAAGTATGATTTAAACTCATTCGTTCTTGCAACGATTGCAATATTTTCGGGGGCATATCCCACGCACGTCGCTCGGAGGTTAACGGTAAGGATATCCGGAGATTTGAGTTACCAATCACGGCGCGCCTTCAACGCTATCCATGGTTCCGTTATATACTAAAGTGCATTAATTGCAAAAATGACTCCTTTCCCTCGCTTCTGTATTATTTATGCATAATCATTGGTCTCTTTGATATTTCATACACAGATGCAACCGGTGACACGTCGGGAATTACAACAAGAGAAGGAAGAAATATCACTCTACCATGTAAGACATCTAACGGCCAGTCTGGACTTTGGTACAAGACTGTTTGGTTTAAAGGCTCAGAGAAAGTTATTTCTATTATAAATGGAGGCCACTTTACGATATACTCTCAAAGGAAATACCCAATAACTGTACTAGACAAGGAATCCATTCGCCTCTTCAATGTTGATCGTTATGATCACGGAAATTATTCATGCAGAGCGCTGTATATAGATGGAGATACATTCGAAAACGTCCAGCAACACATCACTCTTCTTGTGAAAGGTTAGTTCCTTTATTTAATTAGTTAACTGCTCGACATGATATCGCGACAGTTTCGCCTCGGATTAGCTGAGTGTTTGGCACAAGTTACTCGTCCAATCAGAGTGTAGTGAAGCAAAGGCAATGAAATTCCAGACTACAATGGAGATTCAAGCCAACTGGGAGCTGGTCAGTATGTTGGTTCCATATAATCCAGTTGGCTTGTTAGTTCATTTGGTAGAGCACTGAATCGGTATAGCAGAGGTCATGGGTTCAAATCCCGTACAGGCCAGAATTTTTTTCAGGCCTTATTTTTCACTACTGCTCAAGTAGTGCTTACTACTGCGAAGATCGCTTTCATATTCACGTCTTTATCCGCAGTTCACAGATATGATTTTCATACATTCACAGTCAATGGAGATTTATTTTAACATGTTAGCGGTATCTTTCAGCCCGTCCACTGTTAAGCAGCCAAAGCCCAACGATACAAAACCTGACCCAAAATGCATCAAAGGTAGCCTTCGCGCTTGACTGCTCCGTCAATGCATTCCCTAAAGCTGACGTCGTGTGGCAGAAAATGGATGGACAGCTGCCAGACGGCAGGGCCAAACAGGAAACCAGTGGAACTTTGGTGATACACCAAGCTTCTGCGGAGGACAGTGGAACATATCTATGTTCAGCGGTCAACGAACTTGGAGGAGACCAGTTGAACTTTACCGTCACCGTTTTTGGTATGATGGGGGATATCAAGCTTAATTATTTACCTGCCACGTTACGAATTGCCGTTTTTTCATTTGTTTCATGCAATTTGAAAATACGAAACTAGTACTGAAACGCCTAAGGACGCCATATATGGTGCACTAAATGAAGAGATATCCTGAAGATTTAATGGATTTTCATTTGAAATAGAAAGTAGTTGATCATCAGAAATCGTTCACAAAGTTAATAATGTATCCATATAAAAACATTTTCATATGTGAATGGACCGATCTTCCCGAAGGAATATGTTTTCTTTGAAGGAAACCGTTCCTACTTCCTTTTGACTTTGCGTAGCCTTGAAAATGCTGGTAATATCCTTATTGGCTCTTATAAGCTTGGGTTGGAACACATTTCCTTACACACAGCAACGCGCTGTGCTTTCATATCCTCTTTTTTAAGGGAAGATAAATCCTGTCATTTATAGCAAATAAACAGTCGTTTCTCTTTGAAATGTGGGATCTTCAAATTCATTTTTTTTTTGTTTCCTCCGTTTTTGTTTTCAGAACCACCTGGGATATACGGGAGACGAAAGTTCCACGCCAATGTGGACGAAAAAGCCAAGTTGATTTGTGTGTCGCGCGGAAATCCTGGTCCGTCTTTCTCATGGACTTGGAGGGACAGGAAAAACAAAACTTTCAGTATTACCCAGGGCGAGGAAATCAATGGATACAGCATGACAACGACAAGCGATACTGCAACGAGTCAAAGCATTCTTGAAATAACCACGGTCAAAGAAGAGTCTTGGACAATATACACCTGCGTAGCTGTAAATGCTTTAGGCCGATCTTCGGCTAACATTTCTTTGTCGGGAAAAAGTAAGTCCACGCTTTATTGCGTGTAATACAGAACGATAAAGGTAAAAACAGCTTGTGGACCACGAGACCCATCCAGCTGAAGCTTACACTCCGGTTTCATTTCATCACCATGAAATGACATGGAGTATTGTTACCTCCCCCATCTTTTATGGGACGCCAATTCCTTGAGGGGCTTCT